TCCATTGTGACGGAACAAACCATCATCGACTAACGCCACGTAGGATTTTTGATAGATCAATTCAAATCACGTGGATGCCTACGTCGATACTATTTTCCGTCACAAATTTCATCATAGTTGAGCACATTAAGCCATTTCTTTTGGCCTAATTTTTACGTGATAGGTTTTGAGCAGAATGGTTTACACAAATCCCAATGCCAATTTTGGCCCAAGTATTTGCAAAATGTATAACATTACACAGTTCGACCAATATGCACATATGTATGTATTTACAACGTAGCAGTTTACAAAATTCTTTACAAAATGATAACTTACAATATAGATTGAAAAAATATATCACACATCACGGTTAGGAATTAGTACAATTCATGTTACATCAACATAACATACAAACTATCAAGGTTGTTATTTAGATTCTTGCTATCGGCCCTCCTGATGGCAACCATCATGTCATGGTTGATTGATGGGCAGCATCAAGTAGCCAGCTTCCCAATCTTACCTGCAAATTTACAAGATCCTTAGATTTTTTTTAGGGATATGAATAAACAGTAGAAATAATATAATAGCAACAAATATAAAAATGAATGACATGTGCAAAATTCTTAAATCTTATATCTTATAGTGCCTACAGATGAGAATAACATTGTATCCCCTATAAAACAAAAGTAAACATGAGGTTTATGAAAATTAATCCAAAGTGTGTCAACTGTAAGTCAAATGGCAAAGTAACAAACCACACAACTAATTAATATAGCAGCAGTAGTTGAGGTCATATAAACCTGTTAGGTTTATAAGATTACCAAATGTTGGGCACCATATGCAATTAAGAGGAAAAATCTCCATGCACTACACGTACTAACTCTGCACCAGTTTCTATTATAAATAAATATAACAGAGTAAATGGCAGGAAAAAGTTTATCTTTACAACTTGTCAAGATGGAGGCATTTAGTATGTAACATCCTGAACATGGTGACATGTACTGTGAACAAGAAATTCATCATTGTGATATATATTAAATTGAGCAAAGATCTGGAGCTATTTGTACGCATAAATTATATAAGCTAATAAAGTAAAAGGACACCAACTACTTCAAGTTATGCATATAAAAAATAATATCAGCGATTGTATAAGCAGCTTGGCATAACCCAGGAACAATCAAGAGTGACATGTACCAGATTTCGATGTCAACAGTAACCAGAAATCAGGGGGCTGTTTGGTTTGTGCTCCAACTTACCCTGCCAAACAATTGGCACAACCAAAGCAAGGGCATGACCAAAATTTTGGTGTGGTAGTGTTGTTTGGATTGTAGCCGTAGCATCACCAAATTTTTTGGCAAGATGGTTGGGTCTCTGTTTGGTTTCTTGCCAATTAACATACCACATATCTGTATCTGAGGTCTTTTTTCTTTTTCTTTAGAAAATGAGCATTTGAGGTCTAGCTTGAAATGTTTATATAAGGAGCCAATAAATCATGATGGCCAAATAGAAAAAGGGCATAAAAGGGCTCAATGAAGTAGCACGCACACATGTTTGCCGAGTGAAACACACACATACTAGCCGACTGGATTGATACGATCCATGGAGGCGTTCACATACGGGCTAGCTAATTAATTTTCTAGCTCATGTAACAGCCAAGCATAATGCGGATGCTAGCAGGTTGGCAGCCAATATTTTGGCAGACGAATTCGTCGCCCTCGGCTCGCCCGCATATTGGCAAGAATTGCATGGGGCAAACGCCGGCTGGGTTGGGCAAGCCAAATATTTGATGTCCAGCTAAACAGCAGCCAAAACTCATGGGGACACCAATATTTTGGTAAGGCTAGCTTGGCTCGAGACCAAACACACCCCAGAATACATAGTCGTCAGCTATTTTGGCTGCACCTTTTTCTTCAAGTAGTGTTTTTCTTACAAAGGGACATGTCTTTCAGAACAAAAGATACAAAAATACAACACGTATATTTGCAGATAATAAATGTGATCAACCAAGCATTCCATGGCAACAAGCACCGCCATCATCTTGGTACAATAGCATCAAAATTCTAGTGGCATAAATTTATCAACTTGATTGTGTTGAAGTCGATATGATGGCAATTTTCACCACATAACACATAGAAAGTCTGCACATAATATTTAACAGAGAAGCAGTGTAATAGCTAACAAAGAATCTACTCTTGGTCAATGGATTCAGTTAGATTAATGAACCACTTCCCCTCCATAAACAAGAAAATTCAAAGGAAACCAACAGAAGCATCTCATGGGCATTTACTCCATGGTCAATGGATCTCACAAATTCTACACTACTAGTGCTCGCACAGTAGAAGAAATAGAAAATAGACAGCAGTGCTAGTCTCTATCGTTGGCTGTAACGTGCAAGTATCAGGAAAGCAAGTGGCCACGTTGTCTGCATCAGGTTCAGTCCAAGAAAATTTGAGAGCCCCCGGAGTACTATGCTAGAGCAGAGCCGCCGTCACTTGGAACGAAAAAGACAAATAGAGTGAAAGGGTAGACCTTGTTCTATGGGAAATCATGGTGGACAGGGCGGACGACCTCGCCGTCGAGCTCGCCCAGCTTGTCAGGCTCGAGCGTGGGGTCTCGGTTGTCGCCGTCCATGGATCTGGAGAGGCGGAGAGCTCCTGTTGATCTGAATCGAAGAAAAAATTGATTGGGGTTGGGAGAGAGAAGGAAAGAATGAAGGAGACAAGGAGGAAGTAGGGAGGGACCTTGTGTGGGGAATCATCGTCGCCGGCGAGGTCGAGCTTGGGCCTCCTGCAGGTCACGGTCGTCGTCCTCTGCTCGTCCAACACTTGCTGCTCCAAATCTCTGGATGGCGAGGCAGCTGCGCGGCCCAGGAGACGAAGGAGGGAGGCCCCTGGTCAGATCCATGGCCCTGGTCATTTGTTGTGAGCAGCAGAGGCGCGCCGCAGTGGCTAGGGTTGGCCGCCGCTTCCATGGGGCCGCTGCAACCACCGTCGCCATGGATCTCGGACCACCATCATCGGTTGGAGGTGGGTAGGTGAAGTCGGAGGACAGGGATGAGGAGACGAGAGGCGTGGCGGCAGAGGACGGGGAGAAGGAGAGGCAACGTGTGGCGGCGGCGGATGGAGGAAGAGTTTGGGGACGGGGAAGTGTGTTAGGGTTAGGTTTTATACGGAGGAAAGTTTAGGGCTTTAGGTGGGCTTTTTGCGGGCTTGCGGAGCTGTAATGGGCCTTTCATGACGGTTTTCAAAACTGTCAGTAGAAATCCGTCATGCATTAGCAGGTTTCTTGTAGTGTACATATTATTACTGAAAAATTACTATTGAAAACTTCTTCAAAATACCAATCCAATGGTATAATTTTTGACATATAACCTATACTTTGTTGGCCACATTAATAGTTAAATCAGAACCCAAATTACGGAATGGTTTTGTATACTCACGGGGTGTTCAACTTTGACTTGGTCATACTCTTGTACAAACTGCCACCTTTATATTCTTTATTTATGAACGCTATGGCCTTTTCAGGAGGATATGAACTATGTGTCTTCTTTTTTTAGGTAGACATGGACTATTTGCCGACTAACCTAATTTATCCGGAAACTTCCCGGCAGCCGTCGCTCCGCCTCCCTCTCGACGCGCCCTCCCAATCCTCTCCCTCCCTCCCGCCGATTCTTCACTCTCGTCCCTCCCTCAGACCGGTGGCAGGGGTCGTCACCATCCTCAATCCCTGCCGGCGGCGCACCACAGATCTGACTGAAGGAGAAGAGCGGTGGCGCTGGATCTCACGGGCTCTGCGTGCGGCAACGACTTGACCTATGGCAGGGGCAGCAGCGACCAGAGTTGTGAGAGGAGCGGCGGAGGGTGCTGCAGCGACCTAACCAGGGGCTATGAGGCGGCAGAGGGCAGCAACGACCTGACCAAGGACTATGGGGGCGATGGAGAGAGGGCAGCAGCGACCTTGCTAGCTGGAGGCGACGGTGATCTGGCCCTCGATGCGGTCTTCGGTTCGCTAGCAGGAGCAAGTTCCTGTTCGAGAAAATGCAGTGTTTTGTTTCATCTTCAATCACTGTAAATGTTTGAGAAAATACGGATTGAAATATATTTTTTGAGTTATGGGCACTTCGTTATGCTTCTGGGTGGATTCATAAACTATTTATGGGACAAATACAGTTGAAATGCCATATAATTTCTTATTGAACATATAAGCTACAGTGTCACCAATCCATTCCATCTCATTAACCAAACATTGAAATGTCATCGTTCCATTCCATCTATAGCCCTCAACTAAACATACGGACAAAACTGACCCATTCTAATGAAATGGAACCATGACATTACATTTCACTTGGTTCCCTAACCAAACACACCCTTACTAACTTCACTTATCGACGTGCGCCGCCCGAACTAGAAACCGTATGCGTGCAAAAAAAACTCGAAGCATGTGCGCTAATCTATATCTAACTAGCTAGCCCATTGGTGAAAGAGGCGGCGTAATTTCTTTTTCGAGTGTCAAGAGGCGGCTTTTAATTTGTCGTTAAAAAGTCAGTTCATTGTGCACACGTGCGTGCACCCAATCCATGCATGCATGCCGCAGGCCTAGCAAAATCCACCACAAGGAGTGCATATGTGCAGCCCACGTACGTACGCATGCAGTATGCTTTGTACATCGACCAGTACGTACTAGCTACGTACTCCATTACCAGGATCGACTTTTACTTGTTAATCTTCCCGGCGACCCTATCCTGCCGGGCGCCAACTCGGATCGAGTTTGCCGGCCGGCCAGCCGTGTTATCGCACGCCGGAACCGGCCGATTGGTTGAACCACGTGGAAAGGGCACGGAACAACGCAGAAACGACATAGCTACAAACCGATTTGATATGCTCTATCTTGCCTGTGCACGTCGCTCTAGTGCACAGCGCGACGCCTATATAAACCAGCCACACCTGCAGCTCAAAATGGCAGCCGCAAGCATCGAGGCGTTGCTTGCATAGGTACAGGTTGCTAGCTAAGCTTGCATGCGCATGGCCAAGGCTCGCGTGCTCCGCTGTGCGGTGCTGGTGGTGTGCGCGCTCCTACTTCTCTCGTCTGCATCTGCGGCGGCCGAGGCGGCTGGCCGGCAAAGGGGTCATGGGAGAGAGGCCACGGCGCCGGCAGCGATGGCAACGGCGAAAGGGCGTTTTGTCAGGATGGTGCTGCGGGAGGAGATGCTTCAGGCGAACGGCCAGGGTGGCATTGGCGAGTCTAAGAGGACCAGTCCGGGCGGCCCAGACCCGCAGCATCATTAGTTGATGTTGGTTCACCGCCTGTCACGTTGCGTGCATTGAGCTTTCATGCAATAAATCGCCTTCTTGTCTTGGTAGCAAAAGAGATTTTTTTTTCACAAGCATACGTATACAGTGCACGTCGTCGTCGAGTACTTGTTACTACTAGTGTACTGCTACGTTACCACAGAAGTAGCATGTGTGTGGAACAGGTTATATGTTGTCACTTGTTTTTCAGAATGATAAATTTTAACACTTATCCGCATTTTGTCATTGTTTTTCGCAAGTTTTCATTTTATTGGATCGTCTACCCTATGTGTCCCGAATTTCTTTTAGTCTCTACCACATTCTAATATTTTGATCAACAAATCTTTCATTCCCCTGGCCAACTTATACATCTTTAGAATACCAATATTTTAGTTTTCTCTGGTAAAATTGCATCCTCCCAAACAACATAGCGAGAGAGGAGTCATGTCATTAAACCCCTAGCCCCTGGGTAAATCATCAACCTTTTTTATTTATAATACCATCGGTTGCCCTTGCTTTTGACCGTCAATATACCATCTACATGCAGGGGTGGCTATCAGCATCATAGATGGAACCCTTTAGCAAGTTTAAGGAACCATATTGGTACACTTCCTGAGTTTCACGGCCATAATGAGCGATGCCAATCTACCATGTACACATTATTATCTATCGCCATGTGCTTGCGTACAAACTTCACACACAATGTTAATATGTTTGAGGGGGAAACCAACCAACACTAACTTGCTAGGTAGAAAGCTAGCGGTCACTTTCTGGAATCTAATTATTAGGTTGTTCATGCACACTTGTGGATCGAAAAAGGAAAACATTGCTCCTCTCCTTTCTCAAATCTAGGAAACCATGAGTTGTAGAAAACCCTCCAAAACCACTTTCAATTAATAAGGATGGGCTTTCGAAATAATATTTAAAGTTGTCAGAAGTTTCAAAATTAAGATAATTTTCAGAATTTTTAGTGCTAGCTTTCAACTTTAACTAATTCCGGTGTCAACCCCCAGAAATTCTAGTGCTCTCTTTAAAAAGACATGCCAACAGAAATTTCATCACACTTTCAACAAAATTATCAAAGGCTTTCAACAAAACTATGTCAAGATTCTCACGATTTCATCATAGCTTTCAACAATTTTCACAAAATCTAGAAGTTATCATTCAAAACTCTAGGAACCAACAATGTTAGAAAAAAATCTTTAATACCATCTTTGAAATAAAATATAGAAATGAACTTCTTTAACCTAAAATAAGAAACAAAGGTGGCATAGTTGGTGGCGGGTGTTGCTCCTCTTCATGGTGAGCAGCTAGCGGCATGTTGACACACTTTGCAACAGAGGTGAGGAGCGTCCCTGGTGAGGTGGGGAAGTAGCAAGACCCCTAAGGGCATGGCCATCGCTCCACGCTGGACCGCTGCCCCATGGATCCACGTCGGAGGAGCTGTCTCCGTGGAGGAGAAAAGCAAAAATACCGTCGCTTGCAGAGCCAAACGAGCTCTTGCAGAGGAACCGGCTTCCTCGCTGAAAAAGCAGAAGAAAAGGAGGGAACGGAGGAGAGAGAGCATAGAGCGAGAGAAGGAACCAGCCACAGAGTAAAAAGGTAGTGATGCAGAGGGAGTTAGGTGGACCACTAGAAGATGCTGCTTCTGTTGGGTGTGATAAATTCATACGGTGGCCTTAATATTTTTTTTCTTAGGTGGAGGCTGAGACCACACCTAGGTGATGCCCCCATTGTACATGCCCTAATAGTGTGGCACCCATCAAGTATGAGGAGGTGACGCACGTGCATAGACCAATCCAGGGGTTTTCAAAAAGGAGGCGGTCCAGCTTGTGCACGCAAGCATGCACCCGACCCATGCATGCAGTCATAGCAAAATTCAGCACAAATTAATCATGTGCACGCAAATTGTGCATGCATGGATGTCCCTCTCTGAACAAGTTCACGTCTCGCTTTAGAGATAAACCATAAATCATAATATACGTCGAATGTTACAAGGCAGTCTGACAAAGCGGTTCGCAAGATAACCTGACAAAATAAGCGACACGACTACATATATGAAGGACTAAATACAATGTCACGTCACGCCCTAAGACACATAAACTTCACGACAACCCTCAAGAGGAGAAACAGCATGAAGCGTCGATATTGTCGAGTCCAAACTATACTTTATAACCCACTATACTTTAGGACTGATTGGTGTGAGAGGCGGCCCTAACTTTGTCGGCAAAAGGAGAAGTGTGCCTTCTTTTCACAGGATGTATAGGATTTGTATTCAGGGTATTGATTGGAAGGGGAAATACGGGGTAGTCTATTCTCCACTAGTAGATGTAGGCTGACATCTAGGCTGACGAAGCTGCTCAGTTAGAACTTAGCAGTACATTTTCTGGATGTCCTGTGTACCGGTACCACCACGTACGAGGATAAAGGTTGTCCTTCTTTTGCGTTTGCATTTGGCATGTCAATCTGTCGATAACAAGCCAACCCTATGTTGATCATCATCCACGACTCCACAAGTGCTTGTTTAAGCCATGTACAATGCTAGTTGCTTAGAAAAATAAATCGATTTTTTTGTAAAACACCAACGCCTATTTTTAAAAGAAGAGACGCCTAATTAAGCGTCTACAAATAAGCACCGATGCTTAAGGTTACAATGATTTATTTCTCTAAATATCTTTCATAAACGTCTTGCATTGTACAAGACCTTCTTATCCTCGCACTTGCATGCATGCATCATGCATGTGCCCAACCTCAACCCAAACCACTAGCCGGCCGGGTCCAAATCACGCACGTGCACGAAGAGACGATTCATTTGTGTGAAAAAAGACATGGACGAACTTGTGCATGCATGCATGCATGCAGTCGTAGCAAAATCCATCACGAGGAGTGCATACGTGCAACCCACCACTCACGTACGTATATGCAGTATGCTTTGTATTTGGACCAGTACGTACTAGCTACGTACTCCATTACCGGGACGGACTTATACTTGTTAATCTCTTGTCACCACCACCCGGGCCCGCCCAACCCTGTCCTATCGGGCGCCACCTCGGAGTTGTCGGCCGGCCAGCCGTGTTATCTGACGCCGGCCGGCGGATTGGTGGAACCCCGTGGAAAGTGCACCGAAACAACGCAGAAACAACTACGAACCGATTTTATATTGCTCCATGCCTCGTGTGCACGTACGACGCTCTCTAGTGCTCCACCAGCTTCGCGCACGCCTATATAAACGAGCGACCACCCGCTCAAAATGGCATCCGCATGCACTCGGGCGTTCACCGAGCAGATATCACTCTAGCCTTGCAGGCACAACTAGTTCCTAGCTAGCTAAGCTTCCATGCGCATGGCCAAGGCCTGCGTGCTCCGTGGTGCGGACGTGCGGTGCTTGTGGTCTGCGCGCTCCTAGTTCTCTCGCAGGGGCGGACGCACGTTAGGCTACCCGGTGTCACAGGACACCGGTTGAAATTTGTGCATACGTATATATAGGTAAGATATATTGGGCTTGGACACCGGTAGAATCTTGAGCTGGACACCGGACGTCAAGCACGGGCCATCTAGCGATAGCAGCCCATCCAGCTGCTTTGGACTGATTGTATCATTGGGAATTTGGAACGGGCACTCAGCCTGCTTAGCTATCGATCGATTGGATCGATCTCTGTCGTACATGCGTCTGTTCGGCTGTTCTTTCCCCCACAGCGATACGGTGTGAGCGCGTTCGCCGTTGCCTGCTCAAGGGCTCCGGAAGTCAGAGCCTGCCGCCAGTGCCCAGACGCTAGCCGCCGGATGCCCGCTCCGGGCCCTGATCCATTGCATACTACAAATAATCGAAGGAAATAGGTACGGCCGTCAGTCTCACTTTAAACACGTACTCTCTTCGTCCCAAAAAATTTGTCTTAAATTTATCTAGATATGGATGTATCTAATACTAAAACGTGACTTGATACATCCATATTTAGACAAATCTAAAATAAAAAATTTGGGACGGAGGGAGTACTTGTCATAGTTTTGTCTAGTTTTTTAGGTCTAAATTGAATTGAATGGCTAGGGTTTTAAAATCAAGGTATTGCAAATGGGGAATTGGATTGCTTTGATTGGATAACTTTTCCTACTAGTTCACATCTCTTTGGATAATTTATAGACTGCGCGACGACAATACAACACAATGTCAAGTATGTATTTTTTGTGGAGTTTAACTTTGTAGCCATACAGTTTGATCAATATGCTTTACTTATTATTTTTATTCCCGCTTCTTTAAACGCAAATAATGTAACTCGTGCACTTGTGATAACATAATTACCGGTGAATACCAGGTGAGTTTATTGAAAGGTTTTTTAGAAAGATGAAGACATCGGCAGAAGATGATAATGCCAAAATGAACCAGATGATGCTCCATCTCAGAAACAAAATAATGCCTTGATACATGACCAAGATTTAGCAACCATTAATTACAGGGAGTTCATCTCAAACTCTAGAAGAAATCATTTTTGGTAAGAATTTTTACTGTCGAATATTTTCAATTGTTGGGTGTATTATTTTCATGTATATTATTGCTTGTCATCATCCTTGTATAGTGTATACATTTTTTTTGAGACATTGTATAGTGTATACGTGGACACCGGGACATTTTTGTTCTGGGTCCGCCCCTGTTCTCTCGTCTGCATCTGCGGCGGCCGAGGCGGCTGGCCGGCAAAGGGGTCATGGGAGAGAGGCCACGGCGCCCGCAGCGATGGCAATGGCGAGTGGGCCTTTCGTCAGGAAGGTGCTGCGGGAGGAGATGGCTAAGGCGGACGGCCAGGGTGACATTGGCCAGTCTAAGAGGACCAGCCCCGGCGGCCCAGATCCGCAGCATCATTAGATCACGATGTCGGTTCACGTCCGGCCTCATTGCGTGCATGCAGGTTTGATGAAACAAATCACTCCTTGTCTTGGATTTGTCTCAAAAAAAAAACTTCTTGTCTTGGATATGTACGTATGCAGTGTAAGTCGTCGTTGATATG